AGGTTTTAGCAAGTACAATGAGGTAAGAAAAGAAATAAAAGGCATAAAGCTCAGAAAAGAAGAAGAAAAACTGTCTTTCTTCAGAGACGACATGATTGTATATGTAAAAAAGTAAAATCAATACATGGAGTTGGGACGACTGTATATCATTTGGAAAAAATTAAATTGGGTATGCACTTCACAAATTATACCAGAAAAAATTTTTAAATAGATCAACGAAATCACAAAAGCACCAGAGGAAGCCATGGGACAATTATTATTTTTTCATTACTATTATTTTTAGTGAGGAAGATTGTCCCTGAGATAACATCTGTTGCCAATCTTCCTGTTTTTGCTTGAGGAAGATTGTCCCTGAGCTAACATCGGTGCCAAACTTCCTCTATTTTGTATGTGGGATGCTGCCACAGCATGGCTTGATGAGTGGTGTGTAGGTCCGCACCTGGGATCCAAACCCGTGAACCCTGGGCCGCCAAAGTGGAGCATGCAAACTTAACCGCTACACCACCAGGCCAGTTCCAGGACAATTATTTTATAATATGAATGCGGAAGGCCTTTCTAATTATGAAATTATATCTAGAAGTATAAAACACTGATATATATAACAACAATAACAAAAACCTTCTGCATGGCAAAAACACAGTCAGCAAAGTTAAAAAGTAGATGACAAATTGGGAAAAATATTGGTGATTCATGTCATAGACAAATGGCTAATATCCTAATATAGAAAGACTCTATAGGTAAAAAACCTACAGCCTATAATGAGAGAATGAAAATTAAAAGTACCCTGAAACATTGGGCCAGCCCGGTGGTGCAGTGGTTAAGTGTGCACGTTCCGCTTTAGCGGCCCAGGGTTCACTGGTTTGGATCCCAGATGCGGACATGGCACCGCTTGGCAAGCCATTCTGTGGTAGGCATCTCACATATAAAGCAGAGGAAGATGAGCACAGATGTTAGCTCAGGGCCAGTCTTCCTCAGCAAAAAGAGGAGGGTTGGCAGCAGATGTTAGCTCAGGGCTAATCTTCCTCAAAAAAAAAGGTACCCTGAAATATCATTTTTATCAATCAGATTGGCAGTGGTCAAACACATTTTTAACCTACTCATTGATGAGGATATAGAGAAACAAGTACTTGTATAAATTATGCATAGGAATATATAAACCAGTACAAACTGTGGGGAAAACAATATGACATCTATCAGAATTACAAATGCATGTATCTTTTCACCCGGTAAGACATCTCAAGAACTTTATCCTGCAGGTGTATTGCCCCAATGTGAAAGAAGGTTGTTGAGGGTAGTAGTTTTTGAAATTCCAAAAGACCCAAAATAACCTAAATGCTGAGGAGCAAAGGACTTGTTAAATTAAGCTACATTTATGTTGGAATTCTATGACAGCCCTCAAACAGGAGGAAGCTGTATACACATTGATCTGTAGCGATCCTCAAGACACGTTATTAAGTTAATAAAGTAAGGTGCAGAACACTGTTAAGATATTAACCATTTGTGTAAAAATGTGGGCAAGATGTATGCATTTGCTTGGAGACACATAAAATATCTCTGGAAGGATTTACTAAAAAAAAAAAAGGTAATATTTAGTTGCTTCTGGAAAGAGTAACTAGATAACTGAAGGACAGGGTTGGGAAAGAAATTTTTCATTATATATACTTTTATAATTTTTGAATTGAACTATGTGAATATTTACTTATTCAAAAGATACATTTTTAAAAATAATAATGTAGAAGAATGTAAAACAATGTGAAATACAATTGTAGAAAATTGTCAACTGAAAAAGAGATTATAAAAAAATATGCACAGCCTGATCTCACTTTTCTTTTTAAAAAAGGCACAGATATGCATAAAAAGGACAAAAGATGTGCATGAAATATTACCCATGGTTACCTCTGGGTTTGTGGGATATGATTGATTTTTATTTCTTTTCTTTTTGTTTATCTGTGTTTTGAAACTCTTCCACAATGAAATTATATTTGTTTTGTCACAAGAAATAAAAGTTATTAAGAAAGCCCCATAAATGGCTGGTTTCCCGTCTCAGCGAGGCAGCTGTTGCTATTTAACAATCCTATTAGTCATATTGAGTCAACTCATTCTTCCCACAGACAGAAGCTGCCACGTGCTAGGCACAGTGCAAGGAGACATAAATAGGGTGACTTCTTCTGATGACAGGCATTCCAAACCCTTGCCACTCTCCCCACAGCCTATGTCACATTTCCCATCATCTCCCTTGCATAAACTACCTTGATTCTACTTCACAAAGAACACAGACACCACTAGGCATGAACTCCCCGGGGCCTTTCTCTTTCCACCTCCAAACTTCTCCACGTCTTCAGCCAGGCTCACATTCTCCTTTCTGCCTCAAAGGAAGACGTGACTTTCCTTTCCTTTCCTGGGCTCTTTAGCCTGTTCCCTTCGGTACCTCGTTTTATCAATGATCTCCTCCTTCATGTATTTTTAATTTCTGCCTAACCACTAGCTCTTTCTCCTCAACTGAAACGTATTCAACTGTTTGTAATCTAGAAAAAATGTTCCAATCATCTTTGCTTCCCTCAATATACACTACATCTGCTTTTCCCCTTAACCTCCCAACTTCTTGCAAAATCATGCCATAGTCTCTGATGATACGTGTTTACCTACAGTTCACACATCAGCTCATTTGAGTTTGATTAATCTGCCACTAATCTACTGAAACTTTTCTTCCTAAATGTGTCTGTTAGGAACGTGTTTGGCTGCAAGTAACAGAACATCCAACCGGCAATGGCTTAACCACAAACTGTATTATTTCTCCTCATAAACAAGCCCAGAAGTAGGTCACTGCTGGCAATTCAGCATGTAACCCATGATGGGGTTGTGGGTTGGTATCTCAGACATCCTCTTCATCTTCTTCTCATGGTCATTACAGACCTAAACATCAGAGCCGTACACAACTGTGTGAGGGGACCTGAATGGCTCAATGAACAGACTTTCTCCTCATGTGATTGCCTCTCAGCAAACTTGCCCTTACACCCCATTGGTCAGAACCAAGTCACATGCCCACCTCCAGATTAGAGATAGCCTCACTTTTTCTGAGATCAAGGGATCTCTGCTAGAAAGAAGGACAGGGAAGTGATAGCTTTTGTGCAGGAAACAAAGTGTCTGACCCACCAAACTCCCCATCACCTCTAATTTTTAAATCTGGTCCTCATCCTATTTGACCACTGTTGGCAACTCCTTTTCTCCTGAACCTCTCTTCCTCTAGCTCTTGAGACGCATCTGTCCTCCTACTTCTGTTTTCCTCTTCTGCATATACAATAATTTTCTCTTTTCTCTTGACATTTGCTCCCTGGACAATCTCATCCACTATCATAACCCCAAACCCCAATAATTGACTTCTCTAAAACCCAAGACTCTATTAAGATCCAGTCTTATCTTTGCAAATGCCCATTGGCCACCTCTATCTAAATAGACCAGTTAAGCTCTTTATGTTGCAAATACCGTAACAAGTGGCTTTATAAAATAGAATACCTACTGGCTCGTGTAACATGAAAATCCACAGGGTGTATAAGCTTTAGGGTCAGTTCGATTCATCAACTCACTGTCATCAAGGACCCAATTCCTTTTCGACTCTCTGATCTGACTCTGTTTGTCCGGCTCACCCTAAGGCTGGCTTCCTCATGGTGACAGAATGCCTGGAGGTCCTCCAGACTCTGCAATTGTATATTACTACCTTACCCAAAAGGAAAGAGTCAAAAGGAGCTTCTTTTCTAGAAGCCCTCAGGGAAGTCTCCAGGCTCATTGATCCAAGTTGGATCATGTACCCATTCTTAAAGTACCAGAAGATTACATTTTTTCCAATAAGCTTAGGCTTAAAGTAAAATGCCCAAGGTCTATATCCTGAGATAGAGTTCAGATTCCCCCAAAACACATGGACTGCCCAAAGAGGCATAGGTACCCAAACAGAAATCAAGGCCAGCCCCTAAGAGAAGGGAGAATTGTCATTGCACCAGCAACTACAGTGTCCACATAATGTCCCTCAGGTTTATCAAACTTAAAATGTCCAAACCAAGCTTATTACTCCCGTCCCTGCCCCCATCCTCAAATTTGCTCCTCCAGTATTTTTTTCTTAGTGGCACCAGTCCCCACATTCATAAATCTGAAGCTTACTCTGGCTTCCTCCTGCTATTCAGCCAGTTACTAGGGCCTGGTAATGCTGCTTTCTGGCCATCTCTCCCATCATTCCCCATCCCCAGTCTCACTGCCATAGCCTGTGTTCAGGATCTCATCATCTTTTATGAGGGTTTTTGTAATCACCTCTCAATTAGTTTCTCTGCAGGTTCTCTCTGCCTCAGTTTATCCTCTATATGTCCCCTACAGTGATCTTTCTATGTGAGGCCCTTCTTGACAAGTTCATAGTTTCTGCCCATCCCAGAGGTAGAGCTAGATGACTACTGGTGCCCTAAATAGATTCTGCACCATCTTACGCTCATGTCTATGCTCATACTGTTTGCGAAGTGTGGGATGCCTTCCTTCTCCTTCTCATCTCCTAATCATCCTCATGAACCAGCTCAAACATGACTTCTACTATGAAGCCTTTACTTATCTGCCCCCAAGGAGAGCTAATCGCTGATTCCCTGGAATCCCAGAGGTGTTTGCACAACCTTTTTTGTTTGCACATACCATACTGTGTTGAAATTATTTGGACATATGTCTTCTTCCACCATACTGTGAACACTTTGGGAAAGTATACCATAGTCATTAATTTGCTGTACACCAAATATGTCTACTTAGATGTAATATTACACCACCTCACATAAAATTTAGAAAACTTGTAACAGTATAGGTTCACTTACCCTCCCCCATCTTGTATGTTATAATTATCATATGTAGTATATGTAGTACATGTACTTTATTATCAACAGCACAAGACAATGTTATAATTTTCACCTTAAACAGTTAATATGCATTTTAAAGAAATTTTTTAGAAAGTCTTTCATATTTACCCACATATTTACCATATATGATGCTCTTCATTCCTTCCCAAAGATCTGAGTCTCCATCAGGTTTCATTTTCTTTCATCTTGAAGAGTTTTCTTTAGCATTTCTTATAGTGCAAACCTGCTGGTGACAAATTATCTTGGTTTTCTTTTTCTGAAATTATTTTTATTTTGCCTTCATTCTTTTCTATTTTTGTCCCCAAAGCTCCAGTGCATGGTTGTATATTGTAGTTGTAAGTCCTTCTAGTTCTTCTATGTGAGCCACCACCACAGCATGGCTACCAACAGACAGGTGGTGTAGTTCTGTGACTGGGAAATGAACTCGGGCCCTGAAGCAGTGAGAGTGCTGAACTTTAACCACTAGGCCATCAGGGAGAGCTCCTGCCTTCATTCTTGAAGGGTATTTTCAGTAGATACAGAAATCTGATTTGACAGGAGTTTTTTCTTTCAGCACTTTAAAGATGTCATCCATTCTCTTCTGGTCTCTATTGCTTCTGATGAGAAGTCAGTAGTATTCAAATCATTATTCCTTTAGACATGATGTGACTTTTCTTCCTGGCAGCTTTTACGATTTTCTCTTTGTCTTTAGGTTTCAGGAGTTTGACTATGATAATGCTTTGGTATACTTTTTTTTTGTATTAATCTTGCTTGGTGTTCACTGATCTTTTTGAATCTATCAATTTACATCTCAATATTATTTATTCTAATATTTTGCCTGACCACTCTGTTTCTCTTCTCCTAGGACTCCAATTACACATGTGTTAGATATTCTGATATTGTCCCACCAGTTGCTCAGGCTCTTTTTTCCCCAATATTGTTGCTCTCGCTCTTCTATTGGGTAATTTCTATTGATATCATTTAGTTTACTGACTCTTTCCTTTGTCATTTCCATCTGCTGTTAAGTCTATCCAGTGAATACTTTATTTCAGATGTTTTTAAATTCCAGAAATTTCCATTTGATTTTTTTTTGTTGTTTCTAATTCTCTGCTGAGGCTTCCTATCCATTCATTACAAGTATATTCTTCTTTCTACCCATAAGCATGCTTACAATAGCTGTTTTAAAGTTCATATCTATAATATCGAACATCTGAGTCATCTAGAGGCTGTTCTCCATTGACTGTCTTTTCTAATGTGAATGGGCCATGTTTTTATTTTTCTTCAAATGTCAAGTAAGTTTAAAATACATCCTGGATATTGTGGATAACACATTGAGAGACTGTGGATTCTGTTATATTCCTCCAAAGAGTACTGATTTTTTAGTTTAAGTAGACAATTAAGTTAGCAGAATTCAAACTGCAAAATTCCATTTCCCCTACAGTGAGCAGCTGTTCAAATTTCAGTTTGCTCATGTAGTCTTACCTGGGCTGCCTGGAGCCTGCTGCAGGCACTTGATTCAGTGATCAGACAGAGATTAGGGCAGGGTTTATACCCAGACCTTGGGACTTCTTCTCTCTAGCTCTCTCTTTTCTGAAACTTCTTCCCTTACTTTCCAGCTTACTTGTGAGTGACCCAAAACTTACCCTCTGGCTCTGCAGGCCAATAAGACTGTTGGCTTTCTATCAATATTTTAATCATTTTAAGCGGTATGAATTAGGACCTACCTTCAGGCTAAAAGCCATTAATACACAGGAAATTCTGCTCATGTCATTCCCATCTTCCAAATGCCAATTTCCTTCCACTATGCCTGCTTTTTTTCACTCTCCAGGAACTTCAGGTAATTGTTTTCTGTATTCTATCCAAAGTTTATAGTTGTTACCTGTAAGAGGGTTGGTCCAACAAGAGCTTACCCGAAAAATGGACACGGACCCAAAAAATGTTTTTAGCTCTCTGCCTTCCGGGCACTGGAAGGATTGTGCTTCCTGTTCCTCTTATGGTATGGATGGGAGGGTGACATATGAGATGTAAGCATAAACTATGACTTGAATGTTCCCAATGGTGGCTGTTCCATCAACCTGGGTCTGAATTAATAGCTAATGCTTGTTTAAAATGTATTATGAGCACAACCAGAAGGACTCACAACTAGAATATACAACTATGTGTTGGGGGACATCGGGGAGAAGAAGAAGAAAAAAAAGAAGATTGACAACAGATGTTAGCCCAGGTGTCAATCTTTGAAATAAATAACAAAATGTATTGTGAGCAAGAAACAAAGCTACTGCACCATGCTACCTCTATTCTATAAATATGCTCAACATCTTCATAAAGAGGCAAAATACTCTAGTGCACACCAAATACATGGCCACATGCTTGCCCATCATCCTCACCTGTTCTTAAGCAGTAGCGTCTGGAATAGGGGCAGGAAGCTGTGTGACACACTCCGCCCCCACACACATACTCAGGTGACCTCTGGAGATGTCACAATGTGCTTCTCCACATTCTCTGCTGCAGCCACAGCAGAAAGAACTCACTTTTAGCTTACTCGTATACAGCGGCACAATAACGGAGTGCTTAAGAACACGAGCTCTGGGCCAGAGTCCTGAGTTCAAATCCTAGCTTTGCCACCGTGTAAGCTTGGATTTGTCATTTACCCTCTCTGTATCTTAATTTCCTCATCTATAAACCAAGAGGGCTAAGACAACACAGAGTATAGTTTGGAATGTGTGGCACATAGCAACAACTCCAAAAAATTATAGCTATTTATCCCTTGTTTACTCAACATTCAACAAAATTTACTGAGAGCTTATAATCCACCTGCCCGGCACTGTTCTAGGCATTAAGGATACATCAGTGAACACAGCAGCTGGTATTTACTAAGAGACAGGCAATAAACAACAAATATACTAAATAAGCAAACTATGTAGCATGTCAGAATATGATAAGTGTCATGGAAGAGGAAAATGTAGAAAAGGGAAACTGAGGGAGATGTGATTACAAATGAGACAGCCAGGGCAGACCTCTCTTAGAAGGGGACATGAGTAAAGGCTTGGGGAAGGTGGGGGAGTGAGTCACGCAGAAATCTTGGAGAAGAGCATTCCAGGGAGAAGGAAGAGCCATCCATGAACGCTTTAAAGTGGGAGTGTGGCTGGCAAGTCCCCAGATGAGCAAGGTGGGCAGCGTGGCCGGAGTGGAGGGAGGAACAGGGTGCAGTAAGAGAGAGGTCAGAAGTCACCTTCCGGGCGGACAGTGTGTGCCTTGTCCCCGTTGTGCGGACTTGAGCAGTTACTCTGAGTGAGATGGGAGTCACTGCAGAGTCTTGAGCAGAGGAGTGAGGTGACCTGACAGGTGTTTTAAGAAGAGCACGCTAGCAGTTATGTTGAGAAAAGAAGTCAGGGCCAGGACAGAAGCAAGAGACCAGCTAGAAGGCCACTGCAGTTATCAACGCAGAAGAAGGTGGTAGGAGAGAAGGCAGCAAGAAGTGCCAAATTCTGGATGTATTTGGAAAATACAGCTAACAAGAGTTCCTCATGAATTAGCTGTCGGGTATAAATTAACGAGAGGAATCAAGGATAACTTGGTTCTGGTTCTTGGCTTGAGCAAACAAAAGCACAGGAATGCCTTTAAGATGAGGAAGCCTTTGAACTGAGCTGTTTTGGGGGGTAAATGATCAGCAGTTCGACTTTAATATGTTAAGTTTGAGATGCCTGTTAGATATTCAAGTGGAGATGATGGCTAGATGATTGGATAATCAAGAGAGAGGTCTGGACTGAAGATAAAAATTTGAGAGTCAGTGGTATGTAGAAGGTAGTAAAGCCTTGAGGCTGGATTAAGTCACAAACAGAGTGAGTACAGACGTAGAAAAGGCCAAAGACAGGGCCCTGGGGCACCCCAGCCTTCAGAGAGCCAGGAGAAGAACTGAAACCAGCAAAGGAAACTAAGAAGGAATTAAACTCTCTTCCCTGAAACAACTGCTTGGCTTCTAGGCTACCGTATTTTTCTATTTTCCTCTTACTTTGTTGCCCACTCCTTAGTCTTCTTTGCTTTGACGTTAATAAAGTGGAATAACGGTCCAACAGATTTGGTAGGATAGAGGGCATTTGTGACCTTGATAAGAGCAGTTTTGGTGGAGCAATGGGGGTGAAAGTCTGATTGGCATGAGACCAAGAGAGAACAGGAGGTGCAGACCTACAGGCAAGTTTGAGATGTTGGCAGCCAAGGAAAATTGGCAAGTTATGGGGCTAAGGGAATATCACACACATCCATATAGATAGAAGGACGGGCGAGCGCACATCATGTTTTTGTGTTGAAGTGAATCACTTGAGAGAGAGGAACAATTGATAAGCAGGAGATGACGGGATAATTTCAGGAGCAGTCAGTAAATAGTCAAGAGGGGAAGGGACTCTCGTGCCAAGTGGAAGGATTTACCTTAGATAGGAGTAGGGACACTACATCCATGTGATTGGAGGGGAGGCAGAGCCGGGCAGAGAGGCAGGTAGGATGGAAGCCCTGGTGCTGGGAAGATGAGGCAGTTCTTGCGAAACTGCTTTTATTTTCTCAGTGAAATAAGAAGCAAGGTTTACAACTCAGAGTGAGGAAGGGGAGAGGTGTTGGATATTTGGGGACAGAAGGTGCAATGTAGTCATTTTGGAGTGTGGGAAAGTAAACCAACTAGGGAAACGCAGAGAGACGGTGTTGAGAGGCCACTTGAGATTTATGATGATAAATTTAGTGACGACAGTTCGCTCTGTTGTTTTTGTCCAGCGTGTTAAGCTGGACAGAATCAGGGTTTTGCCAGGTAGGTGGTCCCAGGAACAAGGAAGGGAAGGGTGTATGTAAAGGAATCATAGAGCGATAGACCATGAAATCTAAGCTGGGTAGGAGGGATGTGACAATCTAGGGGCCATGACAAACAGTGAAAAAAGTAGACTAGAGTCAAAATAGGGTCCACGAATTGTTCAAATTGTTCAAACAGAGTAGATAAGATGGAAAGAAAGAGGTGTTGGTCAGGCAACAGGAGGCTTGAAATGAAAAGTTCAGAGGTGGTGCTGTTATTTGGTACCCACATGAGAGGCGGGTGGAGGGGAAGATGGTTGCCATTTAGGTACTAGGGTTTCAGATGGGTCATTATTCTACGAGGACGCTAAATTCACCAAAAATGTTCACAGGAGTCAGGTAGGGTTTAGGGACTGTGAGTCGGGGGCTTGAATCTCCACGGAACAAGGGAGTGTGCACAAGAGATGCTGCAGAACACAGCAACAATCAGGGGATAGTCTAGCCTGCCAGCAGGTACTTCAGAGCAGCTGAGGGTGGGGGTAGTTAAGGCTGGGGGCAGGAGGGGAGACACAGCCTTACCTGAGTAATAATTCTCCAGCAGTGGGTGGACCCGTTCCATTCTGAATTCCACTATCTAGTATCTCAATAAGCTTCCTTCCCTCCTTTGGCAGCTGAGAAGCTGCCCAGGGTGAGGGATTTATTCAGGGTCAAGGGGTCAGAAGGAAACCAGGGAACAGTCGGGACGTTCATTCCCTCTTCTCGGCTACCAAAATACCATGGCAGTGTTTTGGATATTTAAAAGAACATTTTAAATGCCCTTGTTTGTTTCGGCAACATTTGTGCTGCCGAAGGACAGGGAGCTGGTAACCATGGCAGTGGAGCAGAGGCTGGTAGTGAAGAGGTGGTTTTTAAATGGAGTGAACTTCAGGCAGGGCGGCACCCAGAGCTCAACCCTCCGGGCCTCCGCCGGGTTCTTTGTTCATTCAGCTTACTTAGGGAGAGAGGCTGAATTCTTCCCTGCTGGGAAGCAAGCTTTGAAAGGGAAGGTTTTGCCAGACTCCATAAGGCGAGGGTGTGTCCCCGGGAGCAGGTTTCCGGGCTCTGCCTGAAAACCTTGGTCAGCAGGGAACTTTGGGGGCCCTGTCATGAACAGGACAGCCTGTGATGGCCAATAAGCCAGCTCTGCAGCATCCTGGATGCCGAGTTCTTACACACTGTCAGCTCTCTCACTACCCCTCCCTGGACAGGTGGCCACTCATAGGGGTGGTTCAGAGCCCTGGCCAAAAAGGCAGCCAGGCAGGTTCCCCACAGGATGAGATCTGGTGCCAAGAGGGGAGAGGAAGAGAGAGGGGGGAGACTGTCACCTCTCCCACATTCCTGGATGGGGAGCCCCAAGAGCCTTTCTTTCCAGGACAAAGAAGCTCCCCAAGTGGACACAGGGCAAGGCCCCGGCAGGGCAAACCCGGGCCACAGCTCTCTTCCAGGGAAGTCTCATGACTGCAGTGTTTTGCTGCAGGTTTCCCAGCTGCTTGGGGCGGGAGGCAGTAGGGTGGTGGGGGAGAGAAGGACGGAGAGGGAAGAGGAGGAGGGAAGTAAACAGGAGACCACAGAGAGAGCCAGTTCCCTGCGTTCAGAGAACACCAGCCGCCTCCGGTCCCCGGTGGGTGGCTGTACGTGTGGAAATGAAACTGGGAGGGGAAGGGAGAGAGGGAAGAGTCAGCAGGCACTTCTCGGCTGTTATCCACCCACCTCGCCTTGCCCGACCCTCTAGCCCACTCCCCTGGGGGGGGAGGGGTACGGTTCACGAAGCGCCCACCTCCGAGTACGCATAGCTGGTTCAGCTGTCGGTGAATCAGACACTGTCTCAGCAGCTTGTCACCCGCTCTCAGGAGGGGCACAGGGGGTGGCCTTGGGACTTGGGAGAGGGGAGGTTAGGTAAGTGGAAGATCCAGTGCTGGCCTGGGCGTGGGTGACGCCTGGGGCTAGGAAGGAGGGGTGTCTACCTCCCAGCACCTACGCACATCTTGACCCGGTCCCCAGGACACGGGGTAGCGGGGGTGGGACTAGGACTTGCGGGTATAGCTGAAGCGGGAATCGGAAGCAGGGGGTGGAGAGTGGGGGGGGGGTGGACTGCGGCGGGAAACGCTGGGGTGCAGCGCTGGCAGGGCCGCGGGTTCGGCTGCCGCCCGCCGCCTGCCCGCCCGCCCGCGCGGGGTTATCCGAGGTAACCGCGCGCGCTGGGGAGGAGGGAGGCGGCGGGGGCCGCGGGCCGGGGTGTCTGGCGCTCGTTGGACAAAGAGATGATGAAACGTGAGGGCTATATTTACCAAGGGGGTGGAGACCGGGCGGGGGGGTGGTGGTGGTAAAAAGGACAAACTGTTCCACAACAACCACAGGAAACACAGCCCATCTGACTCACCGGGAGGGCCACACCGACCCCCTCGCAGGCTTAGCCCGGAGGCCGGCGCGGGGCTGGAGGGTGCGGATGCTCCCCAGACAGACCCAACCTGGGCGCTACGGCTGGAGGAAGGGTTGATTTGTATAAATAAAGGCACCTTAGATGCAAGGGATGCGTGTGTGCGTGCGCGCCTCTCTGTGTGTGTGTGACTTTTGTGGGGCAGGGGAGAGCGCGGAATGACAGGAATGTTTCCTAACCCCGTGGCCCGACCATCGCGGGAGAGATGTGCCTGCAAACTCTGAGCACGATTCCTGCAAAGTCATCTCCTCCCGCACAGCCCGGCCGGCCCGCCCCGCCCGCGGACAGCAGCTCAGCCTCCTCCGCTCTCCTCCCCCCCGGCCCCCCCCACCAGCCCTGCTCGTGGCGCTCAGAGTTGGGGTGCGGTGCTGGTTATGTTTAGAAACTGATGTCATCCCGACACCCTACTCCGCAGTGTTCCCGGGGGAAGGGGGACCGCAGGGCAGGTTTTCCTCTTCCTCGCGGGTGTGGGGGATGAGGAAGGTGCTTTCCCCCCGGCCCCAAACACATACACACACACCCCTATCTTACCCTGGAGTAAAATAAAAGAAAAAGAAAAAAGAAAAATGCAACCCCGCTAGAGTTACGAAACAGGGTGGAGGGGGCGGAACGTGCACGCCGAGGGCGCAAACCCAAGGCCGGGAAGGGCCAACAACACGCCCCTGCCTCCTCCCGCCCTTTCCGCCCCCCACCTGGGTGTGGGGGCTAATTTCAAGGTTAGCTCACGTGGGCGCGGGCGCCCGGAGCTCCTTGCACGATTTTGGGGCGGGTTCCTCATCCCCCAATCTAGGGCAGTTTGTTCAACTGCAGTAAAGGGAGCTTGATGTTCCAGCAGGGAAGGGATTTCTGAGAACTGGGGCTGTCCTCAGATGAACTCGCCTCCTCCGGCTGCTGCGGCGGCGGCCGCCTGCGGAAGACTTTTTAAAAGGGCGATGCCAGGCCGGGGCGCCGCGCGCCAGTGGCTGCGCAGGCCGCCAGTCTGCGGCCCGAGCTGAGCGCCCGCCCCCAAGCGCGGGTGATTCACCCGGCGCCGCGCGGGCCTTCTCGGAGCGCTGGGGGCTGCGTGCTAAACTTATCCTCCTGCATATGCATGAACGGGTGGCCTTTCTGCTCCGCAAAGGAGAGGCCTGGAGTTTTGCGGAAGGCTGCTAAGTGGAGCGAGAGCAAAGTAGGGCGTCGTGCAAGTTTTCGCGCGGCACGCAGACCCCCCTCCCTCTTTCTGGTGCTAACTGTCGTTAAGGCCACAGGCATCTCACCGGAGGAGGCTTTACCTAATTGGATTTCAAATCCAGGGACACCGCCATTGTGGGAAGCCGGCTCCCTTCAGCCCCGCCTTCCCGTCCTCAAACTCGCCACCTCCCTCTAATTCCCCGGCTTTTACTAAAATGAACTCTACCTTCCCCCAGTCCTGTCCTGTGTGCCTTGGTGGGGGTCGCTGAAGCTGAGGGGCCTGGGGCCTGAAAGAAGTCTGGATCCAGCCCAGAGTGAGGTCTGACACGTGATCTCCTACCCCCAGTGGGCCATCTGTTCTCCTTCCTTTCCGCCTGGAGGCTGGCAGCTCTGCCCAGCACCGTCCACGCCTCCCAGCAGGAAACAGCGAGAAAAGCCGGAGTTGGCGGAACCCGCTACCTACAGAGTGCGATTTTAACCTAACCCTCCCGGGCCTTGGGCAGGGAGGAGACTGGGCAGTCTGTCCTCTAGATTAAGCTCCAGGTGGTTAGCTCCACCCGGCGCGTGGGGGACACTCTGCCCTGCGCTCAGTTTGAATTAAAACTTCCAGGGGAGGGGCCTGGAAAGACCTCACTTTGGGCTAGGGTGGAAAATTTGTACAGGAGAAAGGATGGGATTCTCCGAGCCTCCCCCCCACGCAGCCCACTTCCTACAAACTAGCTTGAAGAAAGAAAAACGGAGATCATGAAGTTAAGGAAGAAAGGATTTAAGAGATTTGAGGCGAGTTTATATTTGCGCCTGCTATCCCATTAAATATTAAGGTATTCTGACCTTCACGGCCATAAAGAGCTGTGTTTGTAGATGCACAGCAGAGGAGGTGGTGTTTAAAGAACCCAGTGTGCTCAGTTTTTTTCCCTAGGATTTTTTTTGGTTTTTGGATCCCTCGAGTATTTGGAGTCTGGAAAGGACTATGGAGATGTATTCATCTAATCCCATTAATTCACAGATATGGAAGTAGCTCTAAGAGGTTGCCTAAGGTCACACAGCTCATGTCAGGCCCAGGAGGCCAGTTCCATGCCTCACGCTGGCCTGAACACATGCTGAAGCCATCAGCTCACTGTAGGCGCTGAGGTGATAATGATAGTAATTACTTTAGGATGCACGGAAAATAAGACTTATATGTTCTAGCTGCAGACCCATAAGCCATTGTTCTTGAGAACTTGGATGATAAAGCCAAGGCTTAGGCAGAACTTAGGGAGGAAAATGCATACTTATGAACCAGGAGCTCAGTTACGGTCTTTCACTTCTCATGCTCCTCCCAGCTGGTTTGTGTGGATTTGAAATGTGCATTTACAAAGACTAACTTGGGAGAAAACAGACCTCTTATACTTATGTAGCATAATATATACTTTACTGGTAAATTATTCATTGTAATTAGGAATGATTCATATTAATTTGGGATAATTTATTTTGCCAGAATTTTAATTAGGACAACCACATGCTGGCAGAACAGCATAAGCTGGTTTTAATCATAAAACTATTATAATACACAACACAGCAAGGAAACCCTGTTGTTGAAAATATAAGAAGAAAATCTTGATGTAGGAATTATTATTGTGATATGTTGTTATATATATATTTATTTATTTATTTATTTATTTTTAACATTTAAGCCTCACTGAGGACAGATCATTTTTTCATTTCTGTATTCCCCCATGCCTAGCTCATTGACAGAAAAATAAATATCTGGAGAGTGAATGAGTGGAAAAAGAGAAAAAGGAGAAGGCATTCTACAATTGTAGAATTGCTGGGTTTAAAAAGATATTCTAAATCAAGTCAAGCAGCAGTTATGTTTGTAAATGTGGGAGAGAAATTCATGTGGATGAAATCTGTTTCATTTTATTACTTTCTTTGATAACTCTGAAATGAATGAAATAGGAGAGTTCAAGGTTTATGTCCAGTCCTAACAAAATTAAAGGGATTTAAGGAGGGCAAGAAGTAGGAGAGGGGAAAGTTAGATCTTTAAAAAACCTATGATGATTGACTTATTCAAGTTCCTGAATTACAAACTTCAAGGAAAGATAGAGACTTTCCTTCTTTTCTGGAATAACCCCAAAGTTAACTCTAGGACCACCTGGAGGTGCCCAGTGCAATGCCAGTTACGATGCGAAAGTCTGAGAGACTGTACAGGCTGTGCTCATAGGGACCCCGGAGACATCCCACTGGTATTTGTGCTGGACCTTAAAGAAGCAAGGAAAGGTGCAGTTTCTAAGTGATCACGTATCCTTGGGGACAGTTTGTCCCAGAAAAATCATGAAGTAGGCAAACTCCCCTGGGCTTCAGTGAATTCTTTTCTAAAATTAAGGGGATTGGAATACAAGAACTCGAAGAGGGCTTCACTTTTCCTACTATGATGTACCTACCTTACCATGATGGTGATGTGATGATGATATTCTTGGTTGACTAGCACTCCCTTTCTCTATTTCCCTTTCCTGTGTAGTCATTTACTCCAATATCTTCCTGTACCACTTCAAAAGCAAAATCAAAATAAACTATACTAGCCTTCAAACTGGGAGGGTTAATTTTGGACCCTTCCTTTAGAGACCAGGAACTTGGTGTAACTTTCCCAAACCTTGACAAAGGCTAACAGCCAGTGAGGGCCCTGGTTGGACCTCACTGGATCTGCATCACATAGAAGCAGGCACTTCTCACACCCCGTTAGGAAAATAAATGTATTTTTAATGAGTTGTGCTGACAGTACACCTCCTGCAAGAGACACTGGAACTAGATTCTTTTCTCAGCTATCAAGATGGAAAACAACCCCATCCTTCATCCAGAGGGAGAATCAAACTGCGTTAATCAGACTCCAAGACCCATACTAACTGTTGATCAAGTAACGCCACAATATTCAATGGCTTAGGATCTCTGGCTGGTTCCAGTTCTTAAGAGTCTGTTTAGCACCGTTAATATTCCACAAAACCAAAGGGCTCAATTGTCATAAAGCCCAAAGAGCTAGGAGTCAGGAGATTTATGGTTTCAATTGAGTTCTGTCACTATCCACCTGATAAGGGGGAGAAGTCATTTCTCTGGGTCTCAGTCTCCACCTTTGTAAAGCAAGGGAAGAGAAACACATGCCAATAACCAGGCAAGGATCTGTGGAAAGAAAATGAGCTAAGAATGCTTCATTTTCGTTTTTTACGTTATACAAATGAAGGATTTTGTCCCCACTTATTTGAAGGTGGGTTACAATAGCTTCAAAAGAAAAACTAAAGTAACCTAGAATAAATTGCACTGGGGAAAGAGGAATTAAGAAGCATCACAAAACCAAAGATGAGGTGTTCCAATGTAAGAATAGCCAGACAGTAGAAAGACTGTGCTCTAAAACAGAACTTTTGTCGGCTCTGCATTTTTAAGATGAATTAGTCATAGTTAATGTATAAGATGGAAAAATTATTTAAAGTCTTTCCCAAAGTATGCTGCGCCCCAAAACTGAAAAAACGAATTGATGCTTTCTCATTTGTGTTTATTCTTGGGCAACTGACTTGACATATTTAGTTGCTTTTTTTTAAATTATAGACTCACATGGCATTTATTCATCACCCCTGCCCTCCCATACATATCTCAATTTTACTACCGGCAACATAAAATACAAGGATGTGTCCAGTTTCACTACAGCTCCTCGCGTTTACAAGTGTCGAGCGCTTGCTTTCGGAACGCCCTTCTGATTGGCTGAGCCAATGTCAGTGACATCAACCAACTTACTTTTGATTGGAAGGCCGGTTGCTGGGACTGTAGCGTTTGCAGGAAGTCACTTAACTCTTTGCAAGCTGGAAAACCGAACCTGAAGTTCTCTTTTGTCATAAGAACGGGCACAACTGACTAGGGAAGGTGTGTCCCGCAGCTCCGCAGGCTGGAACGTGAGCGGGGAGGCCTGGACCGGCTACCGGACCCAGAGGCCCTCTTGAAGATGAGCGGCTGCTCCTTTCCAGCCTCCCGGCTGTTACCCTTTTAAATGTCAGCATTCGAGGCTGTAGGGGTAGCACGAGGCAGCGAAACGGAACAGTCGGATTGGCCGCACGCCTCAGTTCTAGACGCACCTCTCCACCGAAAGGCCCTTCTGACTGGCAGGGGGAGAAAGTAAACAGAGTTGAATCACCCTCCCCACCGGCCAATTGGAGGGGGTTTGGGTTGTGACGTGATGGGATTCTGCGAAATTGTTACTGAGCAAGAGAATGCCGGAACGGTGCGGACCGGCAAGAGAAGGGGCTCCGAAGCCGTCCGCGGACTGGGGGAAAAGTATCTCTTAGACCTGGCACCTGGTCTGGCCCTTGCCACCTGCGTCGGGGTGATCGGGTGAATGTCCTGGGGCTTTGGCTCGACGGAGAGGCGGCCGAGGGCGTGTACCTCTCTTGCAGTTTCCTCTCCCAGCGCCTCGGGGGCGTTTTCAGTCGAATAAACTTGCGACCGCCACGTGTGGCATCTTTCCAAGGGAGCCGGCGAGGAGCAGCCGGCGCGCCCGTCGGGGGGATCGCGCCCGGCGCGGGGTACGGGCGGCGGCAAGAGGCGGCAGCGCGGCGGAGCCCGGGGCCGTGGATGCTGCGTGCGGAGGCGCTGCCGGTTACGTAAAGATGAGGGGCTGAGGTCGCCTCGGCGCTCCTGCGAGTCGGAAGCGCCCCGCGCCCCCGCCCCCTTGGCCGCCGCGCCGCGCCGCGCCTCGCCGCGCTCGTCGTCCGAGGCCAGGGCAGGGCGAGCCGAACCTCCGCAGCCACCGCCAAGTTTGGCCGCGCCGCCGGGGCTGCCGTCGCCCGCACCATGTCCGCGGCCGCCTACATGGACTTCGTGGCTGCCCAGTGTCTGGTTTCCATTTCGAACCGCGCTGCGGTGCCGGAGCATGGGGGCGCTCCGGACGCCGAGCGACTGCGACTACCTGAGCGCGAGGTGACCAAGGAGCACGGTGACCCGGGGGACACCTGGAAGGATTACTGCACGCTGGTCACCATCGCCAAGAGCTTGTTGGACCTGAACAAGTACCGACCCATCCAGACCCCCTCGGTGTGCAGCGACAGTCTGGAGAGTCCGGATGAGGATATGGGATCCGACAGCGACGTGACCACCGAATCTGGGTCGAGTCCTTCCCACAGCCCGGAGGAGAGACAGGATCCTGGCAGCGCGCCCAGCCCACTCTCCCTCCTCCACCCTGGAGTGTCTGCGAAGGGGAAACACGCCTCCGAAAAGAGGCACAAGTGCCCCTACAGTGGCTGTGGGAAAGTCTATGGAAAATCCTCCCATCTCAAAGCCCATTACAGAGTGCATACAGGTTAGCGGCGTCTCCCTCTCCCAGCGAGCTCGGGGGTTAGTTCACCTTTGGCCGGGCAGCGATCCTGGGCGTTAAGGACACCACACTCGGCCTCAAGGGTGCAAACATTTTGGATAAGATGCTGTTTAACTCTTTAAATAATTGAACGGTGTAGAGACGGCAAGCTCACTCTCTTCTTAATTGTCCTCGGCCTCTAGAAGCCACGGAGAGCGTTAAACTGGCGGGCAGAGTGAGTGCGGAGGGCCAGCCCCTGTGCGTGGCTCCGCGGGGAGCGGTGCCGCCCTTCCCCGGTCCCGCCCCGCCCCCAGGACTCCCGCACCCAGCGACGGTGGGGCCACCGCACCTGGGCAGACGCAGGCGGGGGGGAAGTCAAATGGCGTATCTTTTATTTGATTCTCTTGTGGGGTTGCAGCGAAGTGGCCAAAACCTGGGGGCAAGCGGCACCCTTGACATGGAACCTTTCGGGGATGACTAAGGACTCATTTAGCCGTATGCTTGCTACTTTTCAGGGCTTGCCAAGGTGGTTTTAAATTTGGCCGGGAGTCCCCAGAGAGGTTTAAAATAACACTGCTTCAGGCAGCAGAGGAGTTTGATCAAGTGGTGGTTGGTGGGTTAACTTCACGACTAGTTAGCTTTTTTAATAAGAGAGATTTCAGAGGGGATTTTTTTTTTCCACGTGACTTAGGTCGCACCCTCTACCTCTAAGCAGAGCGGTTACTGAGGAGGTGTGGTCCTTGCCCGCTGTCAAGGCTCAGCAATGGTCGGCCGCGTGGAAGGGTCTCTCCCAGGGAGAGCAAGAGGCAGGGCTGGCCAAATGAATGTGGCTAGGAAGACATCTGCAGTATAAAACGGGCTTTGGGGACTGACAGGGACCTTGGTCAGCCAATTCTGTTGGTTCTGTTTAACATACTCAGAAAAAGTTGGAAAGCCTTCACATTGGGCCATGCTGTCTCACCATCTTTAGCAAGGTTCTTTTGCAAGTGCTCTTCCGATAAGGAAGCACGGGGCGTGGTCCTCTCAGGAAACCCCTTTTCCTTCTGTCCTATGACACCATGTTTAAGAGGTGGTTGTCCGAGTTACTTGGAAAAGGATTGTCGTTTTTTGGTGTAATTGTTGTAATTTTAAGATGAGGCCCTGGGCCTGTGGTTTTAAAATGATAATTGGTTGGTTTGGTTTGGTTTGGTCTTTTCAAAGAATGGCCACGTAACTGCATCTCATGTTTTATTTTCTTTGGAAAGTGCTTCTTGTGGAGGTGGCTGCTTGGCACAGGAGTAAAACCGAAGGTCCTCCGTGGTTAATGTAAAATCAGGTTCTGTTTGGGGCTGTCATCTAGGTTGCCATAAAATAGCACATTTTAAAGTTGGTATCTGTAAGGTTGAATGGGGGATGTGACCTTTAGCGTGGCTCCCGGGGGTGAAGTAGGGGTATATTAACCGAGGGTGTTACTCACCGGCAGCTGTTGGGCGGGCCTGGCCGCGTCAGCCATGTTCCCGGACTACAGTTGTTCCCATCGACACCCACTGCCACCTTGAGCAAAGGCACTTTCTCCTTCAGGGAGCTGCCCAGTCGTACCGTTGGGGAGGCCTGCAGTGCCTCTGTGTGAGCTACCTGAGTCTGTTCAACTCAGAAAAAAAAAGATTCCCAGCGTTCTGGACCATTCGGCTGAGTGATTTTCTAAGGCATTTATAGAAATGGCTGCTCATGTGTGCGTGCATGCGTGGTGCTCTTCAATTCTCCATAAGGCGAGTCGGCTCAGCTGTTTCAGGAGAACCTCTTACACAGTTAAGAGTGGAAAACGAAGTGAAATGTTAATCCCATTTTAAATGCTACAGTCAGTCTTTTGAAATTAGCGATATGGTGATTGCAGGTGTCTTATTTATGGCTTGGGGCTCTGTCACGCTAGGACATGGTTGAGCAAAAACCTCGGCCTCTGTGTCTATAGTTGGAAGCGTCCTCCTGCTGGAGAAGGTATGTGCAAAGGGGACATTAAATAAGAGACTGGTAGGAGGTCTCATGGATTTGGAAATTTCAGATACAGCTTGGTGTTAGATTGTCTTTGAGGTGGGGTAAGGAGCTTTTCTTTTTGCTGGTATTGACTCCAGAAGGTGGACAAGAGATAGTGTTGGAATGTCTGCATTCTGTGAAGATTTTAAGAGCTAAAATTCCAGCCACACCCCCCTGCTCAATGCAGCCGGACAAGAATCCCGCCTGCAGCTTGCTCACCTCTTCCTCCTGCCTCAAACAGCTGCTACTTCTGTAGAACCCGTGGCTGTAGAAGTTGAGAGTCGTTTAAACAAAATTGCATTTAATTCAGTGCAGGTATATATATAGTGTCCTAAGAGAAAAGACCCTTCTGAGGCACTGAGCTGGGTTCTCATTTGTCCTACTGTTCCCCAGTTGTGACACCTTAAGCAAGCTACTTGAATTCAGAGTTTGCAAACTAGAGCTGCTGCTGAATTTGCTTGGCAAATTTGTTTGGCTTGCCCAACACAGGGTTCATAAAAATTTAATTAGTTATCAACATCTAAAAATCAGAGGATTTCGACACAAATCCAGATTTCTGGCTTCTCTGGAAAAATCGAATGATCTGGCAATACTAGGCCTGAATTCCTGCCTAGGAACAATTGGCTTGAACTGGTTATTCTTTATATGGGGCAGTGTCCCTTATTTTAATCATTTACTTTGGCTCTGTTGGCATTCAAGTTTGCAACCCCTTCTTGCTTTGAGCTCATCTTCTTAATCCACAAGATAGGGTACTATGACACCTCATAGGTTCTTGTCCAAAGACAAGATAACATAAAGCACCTAATAGAATTCCACACACAGTAGGCCATCAAGAAGCTCTGGATCTTACAATTTGTGTCAGTTGACAGGGTGTCCTCAGACCCAGGAAACATAGAATAAACTTATTTTTAAGCAGTACATTAGTTTACATTTTCCGATACTATGCACGATGTGTTTTTCTTCAGCCTCTAGATCAGATAATCTTCTCAGGTGAAGCAGTGGATGGTTAATGTGAAAAAACAGAGAACAAATACACTCTTTTCCGTTTCCAGACATTTTGGATACTTCAGGTGTATTTATTGTAATTAGATGAACAGTTAGACCCATTGGAGTACTTTGTCTGAAAACATATCGAGCATATTATTTGAAACTACAACTAATTTTCAGTGTATCTAAGTTTCCTGACCCTGCCCTCACCCTGCACGTAGACTATATGTATATTGGGGGGGGGAACAACTACATCTAAATTCCAGATTGGAAGTCATTGGAACTGGCTGACGGAGAGTCGTGCTAGGTTGACATCCCAGTGATGGAAACCTTAGGCCTTATATTCCTGCCAGGTGCAATTTCACTCTCTTTTTGGAGGGTTTTAAGTCAGCTGTCCTCAAGTGGTGACGGTGGGTTGAGCTTGATGACACTGGTTACAGGATTCTGGAAATCAGAAAGCCCTAAATCCCGTCCGTCACACCTCAGTTTATAGAAAAAAAATTAAAAATCATAGTTTGGTTTTTTTTTATTTTAATAGGGCAGGAGGAATTTCATGTAAAACAAGGAAAGACAAGAGCCACAACATCCCAAGAGTGACTGCTTCTGTTTTTCTTGCCCTGTTGGTACATTTCCCTGGGGTACTGAGATTGTCTGGTGAAAGGGACCCAGATAGCCCGGCCCCCACAGTGGAAGTTATCCTCCAATACGGGAAAGCGATTTTCCAGCCTCTCTGGAAATGTCCGTCACCAGCCAACCTTAACTGGGGAGGGATGTTCCGTAGCTAGACTAAAGTTTTAAAATTTTGCTTATGCAGGGACCAGGCCTGCTCCGTGCCTCTTGCGTTCTCCTCCCATAATTACTGCAAAGAGCTTTGGAGGCAACTGTTTGGTTCAGGAGAGTTTAGTTTCATCAGAGGTGTGAGAAGGACCCATGTCCATTATCCAGGAAGCAGGGGTTCAGGGACAGGGCAAGGTCTGGCTTTGGCAGCAGGCCCCAGACTAGGGGCCTCCGCTCAGAAGTGGCCTCGGCAGCTGGTTAATTAGCCCTTGCCCAGTCTTTACCACTTCCTCTTCCCTTCGTGAGGAGAAGGGAGGCTCTGTGCCTTGATCCTTAAGGAGACATTCTCTCTGCCTAGTCTTCTTTCCAGAGGGTTCCCACTGTGATGTGGAATGGTGTTTCATAACCTGACACGCTTCATCCGAGATGCATTTACAACTAAGCTTGAGTGGGGCTTGCACAGATCATTGTTTTTTTCCCCATTTTCTCTCCTCTCAGGAGACTATAGCTGGGTTTTTTTCCATAACTGTCCTTCCCCCCATGTCATTTTAGTACCACAGATATACTGTAGAGCTGTCTGTGCACTGTGTCCCTTTAGAAGGCCACACACCATTGTAATAGCTAAGACTTTTTTCATCTGTCAAAGATCCAATTTTTGCCCCTTGGGGGCAATACCACCCCCCACCCCCTCACCCCCCAGTGAGGCTGTCTAGACACAGTCTCATGTATCCTGTCAGGAAAAAATAACAATCAACATTCAGGAAGAGAGCAGAGGGCTGCAAATGGTCTCTAGCTGTAGAGGGTGGTAGGTTCATAAGGATTGTAGGGATGTCCTATAGGGTTTGCTTCCGGGTTTCAGACAAGGGGCTAAAACTCCCTTGATTCCAGGGAAATATGACCTTAGTGCCCTAGCCTGATGCTGGAATCTCACCCTGGGGCCTGAGGCCTGTCCAGAGACCCAACAGCTCTTTATTCCTGTCCCAGCAAAGACAAAGTGGGGTTACCTTAGAAAAGCTTCTACTGCTGTCATGATGACTATTTCACAACAGAAAATACAAGTGGAGTAGAATTTCAGAGTAAAAACATTGTTTGCTTCGATTTTCCTCTCAAATCTTCTGTGAATGGTGACAAGAGAGAGGGGAGGGGTGCAAGTGGGGGAGGGAGATACCAGAGTAAACACAGGGCTGTTTTGATGGTAACACCCCATTACCCTCAGACGCAAAGATTTAACC